ATTATCATCCCATTAAAAAAAAAAAAAAATGAACTCAAGGTAGACATCAAAGTGATGTATTCATAAATTCATACAGATTTTCACTGACATACAATAATACACGATAGAAAAAACTATATCAACTACAACTTCATAAAGAATAAAACATCTTAAACACTATAGCATCATTTGGTTACATAACTTTTTAATAAGTAACATACTGACAGGCTAAAATGGCATTAAAATATTTCATCACAATTAGATTTTCACAATATATTATTATTATTAAATAAATATGTTCTATATAAAGTTCGGGAAAGTAAAACGTATAATAATATTCCGTAATATTTTCCCAGGAAATATCAACATTAACATAATAAATTAAGATCTTAGGTACTAATCGCTATGCACAATGCTGTAGTATGTCTATTTACACAGTTGCTATATAGCAATATTACATGCAGATTTATAACATGGCATTTCAAATTAATCACATTTTTACAAATACATTTAGGTAATTCTCTAAACTAATACAAATAAAAGTGCTAAACATGAAGATACACATCAATCATACACAGACATTATAGGTATCAAAATATATAGATTTTTCTGGTAATATCGTGACCCATAGAATTAAATAAAAAAAAAAAAAAGACAACTGTTAGCACATTCACTCTCGAATAATATTAATTTATGGCAACGCGCGCAGTTATGTTGGTAACTATATAACGTGTAGGTATTACTTAAGAACTATAATAATAAATGGGATCGTACATTCTAGACTTCTAAATCCAGCTACAGTATTCGAAACTTTTATAGAGTTCGATGCTAGAAAAATCATCTTATATGGTGATAACTGAGTCGAAATCGACAAAAGAACACAATATACAGACAACTAATTACAATGGGAATGTGTAGTAGAGTATACATTATGTATTTTGCATAACATTATATTTATATATTACAATTGTATTATTTTTGTTCAATGGCAATGGATACTTCTACATTTATATTACTTAGATATTTTGTTTATTATAGCCGGCGCAAACGACGGAGATTTTAACCGCATACAAAATAACCCTTTATGATTAGCCCGTCTACCCGGTCCAGTCACAATAAAACTGAATACATACAACCTGGGCTTGGAATATCGGTATCTAGAAAACTGGTTTTGTTGAACTTCATACAGGCAGGTATTTTTAAATATATACTAACATTATATTATATTATTCGTATAATTACACAGGAAGTACGTCTCTGTACACCCACCTATAAAATAAAAAAAAATTCTGGGTCTAGCATTAATTGCAAATATCATTTTATTCGTTAACTATCCACTGTTGAACATAGGCTTCCCCCATAAGGGTTTTGCCAGTAGTTGCCACGCTTAGCAAGCAGGTTGGCAACCACAGTTGAGTATTGGTAATGATTTATAAGGTCAGGTACGTATAACTGTTGCTGCTCTGTATCAGCGCCACGACCATATTATCCGAGAAGCGATAACGTTCATTTATTCAGTATTTCACAATTGGGCAAATTTTGACCGCGGATAAAATGTCCATCTTTTGTGCAGGCTTTTAACGTGAAGTGTTTTAAAATTCAACATGTAACAACAAGTATCAAAGATCTGATATTATATTTTGACAGAGATCGCAGACCAAACACTAGCTTGCATCCAAATCTACAGCGACTATTTTGATTATATTGTGACAATAATTGATACTGATAATGCCACTGAATAAGACAGGTTCAATAATATTACCTGCTAGTAATTTAATATCATTTCTATATTTCTTGCAAATAATAAGCAATATCTTGTATACTAACGCAATTATAATTCAGTCTTAAAAAAAATAGAAATTATGAAATAGACGTAATTAATTTTTTAATACCAATAAAATACTTTTTATGTTTATAAATAGGCGGAAACAATTCTGTAATTTTATGCACATACCTATTTAATATAAAATTTTAAATATTAAAAGCAAATCTTACGTAACGCCTCAGTTTCATTATCATTTCAAAGAGTATGTTGACAAGATTACATATTAGAATGGAAATAACAGCTTAAGTAATATACGGTAAAAAATTTTTAGTCCGTTTTAGCCTACCAAATAGACAGTTTATACCTTTACAAAGGTTTAAAAGTGGAATTGTATAATAAAAAAATTACGCTATCACACATATCATAATATAGTAAATATATTATCTATCTATACTATACCATATCAGCCGTAATAGTCCACTGTTGAACGTAGGCCTCTCCCATAAGGGAGGATATATATATATTATCTGTGGTAATGTAAATATCTACAAATACAATCGTTTGCGACTTTTCTAATTGGGAAGGTTATGCGGTCCAAAACTTAGATGAAACAGAAACCAAGAATTATTTAAACGTAATAAATCAAAATGGACGTAACAATACAATTTGATAATGCAAGTATTACATTACAATATTATTCATAATAATATCTATAGGTAACTAAGTCTACAAAATACCCTATGATTACATAACACCCACATACATTTTTTTTTTAATATTATTTATTTATAAATATAAATTACAAAAAAAGAAAACAACTAGTCTCTAGCTACAATTAATATAGCATTCATAGGTAGACACGAAAGCAATGGTTTGGTCTCCGATCTCAATCATCGAACATAACTTCTATAGACAGCATGCACCAACAATCTAAGACACGTCAATATAGTCTACGAGAACAAACTAGACAACAAACAGTCACTGGTCCGATAGAGTTTGTCGCTGATATATATCTTCTTCTACTGATCACATATATTTTTGGCAAATCGCTATAACCTGAGCTCTACAAATACTCCAGTTGGGTACATAAACATTTGAGACTTTTTTTTGCGGCGATTAATCGCATTCTGTCGTCATTTAAGGACAGCAATAGAACGGATGACCTGTCGGCGTAAAAAGTATCACATTGTCGTACCCTAGGTATATTGTAATTATATGTCGAATTATTTGCAGAAGAGAGATTATATTCTAAGCTTATTATATATGTCTGCTATATTCAATAAGACGCTACAATTACAATATAACAATGACCCTAATAACAACCATTCTACATGGAAAATTACAACATTATTTATATAAATAATACCACTTCTACGTTCTATATATTTCAGGGTCATATCTTGGTTGTCTCAATCTATAATACTTTTTTGTTATAAGATGTTATAAGCATCTAGATAGATAAATAACTAATACTTCGTTGTCGTTTAAAAAAACAGCCAGGTTATTATTTTTTTTTATATTAGCTGTAACACAAAATTTTATCCAAATATACGTAGTTATAAATAGTTGGTAGATACAAATTATTAATATTTAATTACACTTTTACGACAATGTAAATCTACGACACATAAATAATACATTCACATCACACATAAAAGATACATTTTACAAAAGAAAATATGGAAGCGAATTTTCAAAAAGTTGAATATTCAAGTAAATATCCGCTTTGGGACGGACTTGCTACTGGCGTATGTTACTACATTGGTGTCATTTTGTAGTCTTACTACTGCTAAAGTTGCTTATTGTAAATTCTCGTTTTCATGGAGGTGGTCGTGAATAAATAACTCTATATAATTATTATTGAAATTGTAATTTTATATCTATATAATTATTAAGACCATAAAAATAAAACAATAGTAAGTCCAGCGACAGAATTAAATTAATTTTCTTCGAGAACATTGGTTAAAAAATGTTATGATTACAGTGATTAATCTCATGTACTGCAATTTATCGATTTGTATAATGTGAGGTAAATTAGACTGTATCCAATTCTACTAAGAATACTGTAATTCATTATTATTAATATAAAAAAAGTAATCCATTTTTAGTGCTCTCACTGTAAATGTAGGCAAGTCAGTGGTGTAATGTTTTTAATTATTACCAAGTGTTATTATTTGTTTAATAATTACCAAGTTTGTGCAATTTGACTTGGCAGGTTTAATTCAAAGTGTATACAGATATTGTAAGATAAAACCATAGATTAAGAGGTAATACCTACCCTCTTTTAACCTTAGATATTTTTGACAATCTAAAACTAAACTTTCTCAATTATGTTCAAGTTATACCTTCAGACTATGCCTAAAGCAAGCAAATTCTAAATAAATGTTGCAATATTTTGCCAATAATACTGTAATCTGTATATATTAATACTTTTTCTATGTATTCAGAAAACGAGAAAAACTAGAAGTAGTATTGAACACATTTACTATCATTTAAAATTTGTATATAGTATTTTAACATTTTTTCAATAAAAATCTTTGTACACAGACAGAGATCTTCCGGATATTATAATAACTCTCCGCATGAACGATTTTATTCATTTTTATCATAAAATAAATAAAAATTGCATTAAGCAAATTTATTATTTTTATCAAAGGCAAATTTTATTAAATAAATATGTTTTCAATATCTCAATATATTCAAATACAAATGTGGATTCTTCAAAATGTATGAGTATTAAACATTGTGTACAAAAACAGACAAACTTGATATTTATGGTGTTGTATTATCACATCACGTTGTGAATTATCTTGTCGATATGATACACTTAGTTATATCACGTGCGTGAGCTGTGATAACCCTAAATATACTTATGATTAATGACTAATCGAAAAACAGCGATACACCTAATGTGTGTATAAACAGAACCATTATTGAACAGTGAACAATGTGTACAAAACACTAGAATAAATAAGCTCATAGCTTTCAGAACAACAGCAGATCAATTTAGGCCAAATTAATGTGATAAGATATACGCAGATTTTTATTGGTATTATTTATGTGAGTTTGTATGATACATTGATTATTAAGAAAACAATATTTCCAAAGTATTAAGTTACTGACTTGTCACAACGACTTGATTTTATTATATATATATATATATATATATATATATATATATATATATATATATATATATATATATATATATATATATATATAATATGTATTCTAAAATACATCATATTACGAAAGGTATATTTTTGTCAGTAAAAAATAAAAACCTTTTTGAATAGAATAATAGAAACCATACTGATTTTATATAAAGAGGCAGCAATAATATGATAATATCATATTAGAGTAGCCGCAATAAAAAGAAGCATTTACTTCAAACTGGGTCTCATTAAGACCTAAACATAAATTTTAGTATTATTAAACATCTCTATTGACAAATCTCAAGTTACACATTATAATCAAGCTAACTGCTTGTATAGTTACTCGTATAGAGCGAAAACATTATACATAAGTAGCTGTTACAGGCAACGTCGACCTAATGGTTTGTGAACACTGATTACTGACCTTGACCTATCTTCTTTGTAGAAGTGATCATTACAGTCATGTCATTATTTCGCCCTAGTCTGGCAACATGTGCACGAATGATACTGGGAACATCCCACGGCGACTGGTGCCTTCAACCTGACCTTCCATCCAGTTGTCATCTTCTGTGCGCTCATTGATGACGACAATGACTTCACCCTCGCGGAATGACAATTCGTCCTCGTTATCGGCTGAGCAGTCATAAAGCGCTCGACACCGTCTCAGCCCACCCATCTAAAAGTCATACAAAATTATATAGAGCATAGGGAAATATTGGTTTGATTCAATTAAAGATACATTAGTATTATAATAAACATCGTAATTTAACCCTTTGCACTCCAGCCTTATAATTTATAGTGGATACCAATAACTTATTAACTTATCAATAACTTATTATAATGTAAACAAAATAAACATATTATAAACACTATAAGATAAATACAGAGAATTTCGCTTACCTAAGTATTAAGTGCGCTGAGTCAGTAAAACAAGCGAGTCGCCGTAGCCGCGACAGTGGATTTGATGTTAGCATTTTAATGTCGCAAATACAGCGACAACGGAGTGCAAAGGGTTAAAAAGGTAATGTTACAAAATAATTCAATGATAGAAAAACAAACCAGTGTTTGTAAAGAATTTTGTATACCATAAGAAAACGACATTTTCTATTAATAGTACTTGGTCATTCCAGCACTAAAAATATTCGGAAAATAGTATAACTATCAACAAGGAATGGTTGTTCAGTATCAAATATTTTGTGTACATATTATATGATTAACATTTTAGTCGAAAACGACTCGAACGAATTCAATGAAATTTCGTTTTCACGTTTACCTAAAGTGAAAAAGTAACATCAATTTAGATACAATATTCTTAGGGAAAAACTGCATGAAATAATATATAATAAAACTGCAATTATAAATACAAGTCGGTTCAAAATTTAGACAAAGCTGGCCGCATTTACTAAAAATATAGATCAAATCACTCGAGCACGTGACTCACGTCTCGCATCCATAGTATAGCTACCATCAGTTGATAATTGTAAATACCCAAATACATTTCAAATATAATAATATAAAACACCAGAATGAATAGCAATCGACATTCTCATGAATACAAATATATGTACGTTAATACGTGTCAGTTTGTATAATTACGAACTGACAACCATTTGAGGGTAAGGCAGTGTGACAAATTGTACGCTGATATTTTTCAAAACAATTAATAAAAAATTCACCATTGTAATAGAAGCCGATGGTGACCGTGAGTGAACGCTGGATGTGTCGGATACGTCAAGAGATCGGCTGTCGCTGCGGCGCGATCGCTCGCGCGACCGCGAGCCGTCCGACAATTGCAGCCGACTGTCGTCCAAACACGAATCCGACATGTCGCACAACTCCAGCGACGAATCTTGACTAGAACACTCCTGGAAAATATTCATAGTTATACATACACATTTTTTAGGAAAATCTTTATTTTTATCTACCAAGTAGCTAAAATGCTAATTGCCGAAATTAAGCATTGTGTCGTGCTATAGTTTGGAAATATTATTGGAAGATCGAAATAAGATGCCTGATAGATATAAAAATATTTCAATATAGAAACAGGGAAGATTTTATTATAAATTTATAGGGTAAATAAACTATAGTGTTATAAATATAATTACGGTATACATTTATTTACTAAAAAGTTAAATAAGATTTGATTTTAATTCAATGTTACTCGAATTAGTTACTATATTTATTTACATTTTCGTGTTTCACATCATGCAAATTGTTTGTGTTAATATTTCACAAAACTCGAGTTATATTAAAAAACAAATATAATTATTGTATGGTACTAAATGTTTTACTTTTTCATTATTAACTCCTTTTTATATCAACTTTCTATTTATATAAGGAGTATAATTTTCTACACAAAGGATGGAGAAAACGGCAGGAATTTTAGATATTAAAAAATATAAATAAGCTGAAAAGCTGTTAAGTACATGCAGTTGATAATAGCTGTCCATAAATTGTGCATAAGTAATAAATGCATAATTTACGGTGTAGTAACCAATTGTCAAGAGTTACGCAAAATTTGCCAATATTTTCCATTTCAAATAAAATTGGGACTTTTTTGTTTAAAATATAAATCGATTATTGTATGTGACGATGAGACACATCGCAAAACATTTGCGCATCTGATAATTCGGGGTACATGTAACATGGCAAGTCAGAAACAAATACTCGAAAAAATTATATATAATAATATCCTTACTATACATAAACTGGAAAATTTAGGAAGATTTAAAATGCAAGTGAATATAACATGAGTGAAGACAATCAACAGTGCCAAAATTGCTAGCTAAAAATATTAAATAAAATTTCTGTACATTTCGAAATTGTCAGTGTACGACAGAAGCAGAAGAGATTTGACATTAAAAAAAAATAACACAATATTTTATTATTGCAAACATTAATAGTGCTCAAGAATTAAATGTTCTAAAGTGCCATGTACTGTCTATGTCCATTGTTACAATTTTATATCGTCTCTTGACAATACATTAACAAAGTCCCAAGGGATAAAACAAATATTAATCGTAGGGCATAAATCAAACAAGGGTAAGCTAGTGAGTACACTAATTTCTCTCTCATAGGTCGTTACCCTTTTCAGTTTCGCTTTCACAGCCTTTTCCAGGTGCAATCTATTTTTCTTCTGAAGCAAAAACAAATATAACTATGTACTTTTTCTTTAATGTTAGTTGGTGAATTATTTACACGTAATTGAAAGAGCAATAAGAATAGATACTTCAATTTATTTGTACATATATGTATAAATCCAACTAATCCTTAAAACAATTTAGTTATAAGTAATTTCATTACAGATTGTTATCAATAAGTTAATAATAATAATAATAATCGCATAAATGCAAAATATAATTATTCCTGTAATTTACTATAAGCCGTCTCTTGCTAAGCTACCACAGATTTTTTTTTTTATAAAAAGATAGTAAATTTGCAGAAAACGAACAAATTTATATTTGTTCGTTTTTTTTAATTTATATTTATAAATGTATACTTGTAGAGATTATATTCTGTCTCATCGGCCAAAGGACATTTTTATAGCGATATCTATTGATAAAGTCCAAATTGTATGGAATTTACATATAAAATACAGTTTCACAGCTCAAAAATCTAAATCTAATCACACACCACTGCCACTCACTTATCACACACACACATCCACACCTTCCATTCTCAACTTTTTTCTCACATATTCCTAGAGCATTATTACTAGTGTTCATTAGTACATCATCATCATCATCATCATCATATCAACCTTTAACTGTCCACTAGTGAACATAAACCTCCTTCTCGGGGCCATTACAATATACTGTGACTTTATTTCAATCAATTGTCAATTCTTTATATTCACATTTTTTTACTAAAAATATCCCTTACAAATGTACATTAAGTTGGTTGTTTTTCGCTTGTACTTTATACAACTAGACAAAATATGCACCTTCTCATCTCTTCTCTCTTCGTTAAAGCAGAGAAGTGCAAAATGACGTAGTACTGTAATGAGCAATTATCCTATGGTAAGGCATACTGAGCAACGTGCAAACTCTATACCAAGCTACCACGCTTCAGTGTGAATTCCAACGCCGTTTATTTTGTTGCATACAAATATCAACATTATCAACTTAAAAATAATAATGAATTAATAATAATCTTTGCCACCATTTTGTAGGTCTAATGCTATCGCCACACTGAGCGGATCTTCCGTTGCAGATTTTCCATATACATATTTATTATCATAAACATTCACATTGTATTGCAATGTATTTGTTAAACTCGACGGATAATGATGAGATTGGTGACCACTTAATGCAGTAGAAGACCAGCGACGAAATATCCGTAAATATGGCACCTGTCTTAGTAACAATTGTCATATTTACGGACACAAAGAAATAAATGCTGCAAATACTTAATGAAACAAAAGTATGTCACTATTTAACTACTTGACATTACAAAATAATTTATTCACAATAAAACTTCTATCATATTAAAAATTCATTCTAAAATATCATCTGTAATGTTATTTTCATCGGTTTTCATTTAGCAACATAAACTTTATGTCCAAAAACTCCAAAACGATATTAAAATCAATTAGGCTCTATTATTATTACATTTAAAGTTAAAAATGCAAACACAAAATACACGTAGTTGCGGCATTTATTTATATTTATAATATAATCCCTACAAAAAAGCATAAAATATGAAGTTTATGAAATTAGTTACCTTCCTAGGAGGCGGCGTGGGCTCGTCCCTGTGTATCGCCCCGTTGTGTAATACTGCAGAGGTAGCGGGACACACGGGCCCCGCCGGCGGAGGTGTCGGGGGCGGCTGCTGCGGACGGTGCTTCACTAGGCCGCTAGACACTGTTATGAAATCAAGATTATCGTTTGAGAAATTGCGTAATAAAAACGTCTGGAATATAATAAAATCATAATTAAAATATAGAACCAGGTAACTTTAAACAAAAGAATAAGACAACGAAAACAAAAGAAAAAATAAGAATATGGTGAGTGGTGGTTATAATGGTGATGAGTTATAATTTTGTATGTACATTATTTGTTATTTCATGGATTTAAAAATCATCATTACGATAATCAATCGACTTCAAAAAAGGAGGTTCTCAATTCGGTTGTACTTTTCTTTTTAATTATTGTTTTCTCAATTAAAAATATTTACTATAGTGACAAATATAGCTTTTAATTATTTTGGTAAAATTGAAAATTACATTCCACATTTATGTGAATTTCAAACACATGTCAATTTATCAGAAATTGTCCAAATTTTGTTATTACCGTGTAACGATCTGGCACTGTCGGCCGAAGGCGAGGGTGTGGAGCGCGGGTGTGACGCCGGATGTGACGTCGTGTGCGTCGCTGGATGCGGAGGCGGATGTACTGCAGGGTGCGCTAGCGCCACCGCCGGTGGTAACGGCGCTGCGCGTTTCTTCAGACTGCCAATGTTATCTGGAGATAGGTTTAGATACATCAATAGTTATTATTACACATTACCATGTCAGAACCTTAAATTGTATAACCAAAAAATTCTTTTGTTTCCCGCTGTTATCGGTATGCGTGCGATAAAAGTGGAGTTAAACAAAATAATTGTAATAATTAGAAATATGTTATACTTTAGCGTTATTTCAATTTCTATTATTGGAAAAAATACTTTTTAAGAATACTTTTGACACATTCTTTTATCGATTGTTCATAATGACATATAATTTATTTATTTTATTATAATTTCATATATTTTAATATAAAAAAAAATAAACATTAGTAGTGATTTAAACTCCTTTCAGTGTCTTCCTGATTTATAAATGTTTTATTTTTACTAGAAATTTATACTCACAAACATTGGGTTTCCTCGGCAATGTTGTTGGCGTAGGCGGAGCGTGGTGTAGCGAGTCGCATGTGGAAGACCGCGAGCGAAGCACTGGCGAGTCACCGCCACGATCTGGTCGGTCGGGCCGATCGGCGCGATCGAGTTGTTCGGACCGATCGGCGCGGTCGGGTCGGTCGGGGCGGTCAGGGCGTTCGGGTCGATCCGGTCGGTCGGGTCGCTCTACACCTGCACCGATAACGGCACCGCCCGCATACGACGGTGGCCTCGACCGAGGGCATTTCTTTTCAGGGGTGACACTGCCATTTTGCTGAAACCATACATATTTATTATTATTTTTCGATTGCTTGGGTACCTCTGTCCCATTCGTGTTTCAACCGTGAAGCCATTTTGAAGGGTGGGATATGGCGTGAAACCATACATATTTATTATTATAAACTAGATGTTATGTTTATATAATAAATTATAAAAAAAAAAAAATGTCAAGTATATATAATAAATTATAGTTAAATTATATAAAAAAAACGAATCAATATCTATGAAAAAACTTTTACATAAATCATCATGTTTAACATTAATGTTTTATTAATATTTAATTACATTAATATTTAATTTGTAACGATATTTAGATGTTTGATACACAGTAAGATTATGTTTTAATATAACAGGATATACTGATTCACACAAGCAAAGCCGCCGGGTACAGCTAATTTTGCATATATATGCTGCTGCTGCAAAAAAGCAAAAACTTACCCTTTCATCAATAACAGTATCGTCGTCAGAAAAATCAGTTGAGCCATCATCATGAGATAGATTCCAGTCTACGTTTATATTCTCAAATATACTCTTCTCTCTCTTATCTACACTTTCCAACTGAAACAGAAACAGTACATAGATAATAATAAAGATATTTCTCTGCAAAAAAAATATCAAACCAATACGAGGGATAAACCCTATCAATTTTAAAAAACAATTATCCAAATTGGTAAACATATCGCGGGGTATTAGGTACAGTCAAAAACGGGTGAACGAGAGCCTTTTTGAAAATTGCTGTAGAAAATTATACTTCCTCAATAAAAATAAGGATCAGATGTCTTGCACGCTTCTACATGATTCGATCAGTTGAGCTCAGCACAATCATCCTTATCATTGTAACCGTACATTGTTCACTGCTGAATCAATGCCTATCGGAACTCTATGGGCACGAAATAAATTAAAATTTTACATACCAATTCTTGACACGCGTGATGTCCCATTTGCTTGGCAATCTGCAAGGCGGTTCGACCACTGCCATCCTTTATGGACCAATCAGCGCCAGCTTTGAGCAATAGTTTCATTGGTTCAGTTCTATCGGTCGCCGCACACAAATGCAACGCCGTCATGCCAGATGACATTGTTTTATCCAGCAGTTGGGAACCGCCGTTTTGGACTAGAAAATCGACTATGTGGAGGCAGGAGCCGTCGCCCAGCTCTCTGGATATGGCCAGGTGGAGGGCTGTTTCCCCACAATCCTAAAATATAAAAAAAGACAAATGTATAGACGTAGATATGTGATAGACAAGGTATGCAATATTTACCGTTTGTTAGGAGTGAATATCGTAATAATGAATTACTTGATTTATTTTATTTGTACCAGATAAAATTATTCAGAAAGTTGAATATATAAGCCTAAAAAATATTTCAGGTTACAGTTTACTATAAATTGTAATAAATTTTAAACATTTGTATCTAAATAATAAATTTAGATACAAATGTTTTAAATAAGAAACAAGACATTTTATTGTGTCCCGAAACCGTATAAAGGCTTCGTTAGTATATTGTGTATATCTAGTGAAGATAATAACGTAATTAATGAAACTATATTTGAAAAAATCATAAAAGGCTTCTTAAAATATATACACGGTAACAATTTAGAGATATTGTATGAAGTCATATACCACAGATCACATTTTTAAATGTTTTTTTTTTTATATATTAGTTTTAAGGCACTTATGTGTAGATAGCAACCTAAAGAGTGTCTCATAGAATTATCGCTCTTTGTACTGAGTTAGTAAAGTTCTTTAGACTAAATACTTTAAAAGTAAAATATATACCTATAAAATAAGAACCAATTAAAGGCAAAAGAAACAATAAAACCATTTTAAAATTTAAATAGTTTCCCTGTTATTTGTGAGTGGCAATCTCATACATAAAGTGGATTAAAAAAAAAAAACTATAACTATGCATTTAAATTATCTAAACAGTAACTATTTTGTTCCACAACCCAAAAAAATACTACGAATAAACGTAGGCTTCGAATAAAACACCAATCAATAACATTGACAGGACAATGCGCCATGTATTTGAAGCTTTCATCGGCCGCCCTATCATTTCCTTTTGAGATAGATATGCTTGAACTTACAGAGCAAGGAAGTGGCGCAGCTAAGTCTGCACCTTCGGCGTAGGCTTGCAGTAAATTCTGCAGGTGTCCGTTATTGACTGCATGTTCCACCTCGGACAATCGCTCGGCCTCGTCGCAACATGTCTGCGCTGCCCACGCTCTGTACACATATTTCTCGCGGATAAACCGGAGACGCTCCTCCCTAGAAAAATAACCAATAGTAAGTTAGAACATGTAGTAATAATTTTAATTAACAATAAACTATATTTTTAATAAAATTGTGTATTATCAATAGGAACATACTTCTTTCAAGACTGATAAAAAAACAACTAGCAATTTAAAAACCGATCAGGTGCGAGTTCAACTCACACGCCGAGAGTTACATAAGTATATATGACATAAATAATTATTTTTATTTGTATTATTAATATGAAATAGACACTTAAAAGTTATTAATATTGATACAATTCGTTATTTCTTTAATTTGTACCATAATTGTGGTTAAAAACTTCACTGCATAACTAATTTGTTTTTGGAGGTTTTTGACTATTTCTCAAAATCGATGCCAGTTAGAAACATCGTTTTATTTTATCTATAATATTGATATATACTCTTATAAACTATAATTACATCAGACTATTCATTACAGAACATATGTTAGCATACCTTTACACTTTTTTGATACGGAACCCTAAAATGTCATAAAGTATGCCAAATGATCTGACTCAATTTTGCACGGATAGATAGAATTTTCGAAAATAATATATAGCCTATATTGGCCTAGGCTGACGTTGATAATACAGCTTCCTATAGGTGAAATTTATAAAATTGATTGAATACTTTTTGCTTTTATCTGTCACAAACAAACAAATAATAAAATCTTTCGTATTTATAGTAATAGTATATCTTTATATAATATAGAGCATAGATTAGTAAGAAGATTAGTCAAACAAAAATTTGTGAAGGGGTTAAACTTAGAGAACGGGGGGAAAGGGATTGTTAATAATGGACACTGAGAGTCCCATTGCTAGCAATATACCCAACCAGGTCGACCTCCTCGCAGTTCCCTCTGGAAACTATCATGGTGAATTCCTGATGAATTAATCATGATGGGCTAACTGGCCTGTTTTCATTCTCATCGATCACCCTTCACTGGTGCTCCGCCAGCGTATCCCGTTAGCGCAGGCGGGGTTACCATACCATTTTCACGCATCAAAAAAAAACTTAGAGAACAAAGAGTTTCATCTTACATTGTATGTGGATAAAATATATAAAAATTATTATCATAATCTGTATTAAATTTATCGTATAAATAATTATATTTATATATTTATAGTTTAATAAAACGTGACTCACATCGTACTCTCGGGTGTCAGTTTATCCCTTTCATCGAGTGTGTTCTCCATAACATCATTGAACATCTGGTTGCCCATATGCCGCGCTATCAACAGCTGGGAGGTGGACAGTCGGTCAAGGGTGAGCGACTGGATCCGCGATATGTGCACGCCGAGCTCGCGATGGCTTCCCGAGCATTCTATGCAGACTATTACGCCGAAATTTGTCGATAGCCATGTGGGATCTGCAAACATTCATTAGACGATTAATATTTAAAAACTTTACATCATTACATGTAGATAGAATATCAAGGGTCAGAAAATGGTTTCCTTACATATTTACCTAGTTATATAAAACTCTAATGTATTTCATTGCTGAGATACATTATAATGGTTAGCATTTTTTTGTAAATATCATTTAAAGTAATTAAATTAGACTTTACACGTTTACGCATTATGTTCATCCAAAAAAAGAATTATTTATTGAAACAATTAGGATTAGCTTAGCATTCGTCATGTATTGATAATATCATAATTTCTGAATAAATATTACTAAGTCCGTCTATAAAAATATCAATTTTTTTTATTTACAAGCTTTGTAATAATTCAGTTATATGTATTATCAATTATACGTATGCAGTATAATCGATATGATATAAAATTGAATAACAGTAACGAATAGGAACAGACATACGTAATCACATAATTATGTTGAACGTTGTATATAATCAATTAAAAAATATGTATTATTCGATCTAAATTATAGTAAATTTCACATTGTATATGCAAAAAAAATGTTTCGATTATAGGACAATTAATATACGTATAATTAATATGTATTAGAACATATTTCAAATGATTTTATTATTTTTATTGATGCGTCTGTTTACTTGAGGCATTAATTATAATTAACGCCTTAAGTAATAATTATTGAAATAGGTAAAATAAACAAAAAGTAAGCCAAATATATGGAATATATCATATCCATATTTAGTCTTTATTTTATGAAAATTTATTTAGTTTATCAGAAGCATATAGCGACTGATAAATAAAAAGTCTTAGACATCAATTGAATTACTGATATTATAATCAAATTGTTATTGGTTTAAAAAAGACGGAAACTAATGATTTTATATTAAATGCGATACTGAGCATGTATATTATTTAGATAAAAGATTGGACGGATTTTAGGAAACAAATAAACTCTCACATTAATATTAATATGGACTGCCTGAAGCCTTATGACATGAGACATAAAATGCGACGTGATTAAAAAAATAAAGCAAACTCTATTCTGAATGCAAATAATTATATTTAGATTAGTTGTATCACGCGGCTTTATCTATGTAACAATATTCTAGACGTCAAGCTATAGTACCAAACTAGTATAAGATATCCAAATCTTGACAAAGTTTCACATTTATAATTAAAAAAATCTGTATAATTATAACATTTATTAATAAATTTGCTATTAGTCAGTTTTATACAATTAATACAGATAAAAAAGTTAAAACCAGATATGTATAATGTGGTATGAATACACAACACTCATTGACTATAAATTGATTTGTAATTAAAATACCAAATAGAAACCAGTATCATGTTTATGCCACACTAATAATAGAATGTACGTTCATATCGCATAAATTAAACATACACTATATAAAGTACATATTACTTATATGTAAAAAAATCGTTATAGCATTATGATTATTTCATAGACTATTATTTTATAACAATAAAATTTAAACATGGATAATGAAACAAAAATAACGAAATATGGTTGTTTAAACATTTGAAATACGAGGTTTGTCCGGAAAGTACGTATAAAAGTTTTTTAAAAATTTTATTTTACAATTATTCAGGTAAATCAATTTTATCCCCTTCAAAGTACTCCCCCTGTGACATAATGCACTTGTGCCAACGCCGTTTCCACTGTGAGAAGGCTCCTTGAAAGTCCTCTGGTTGTAGGTTTCTCAGCTGCCCCGTCGTAGCTTTTTTTATCTCATTTATGTCCCCCAAATGCCGCCCCCGAAGTACCAATTTGGTTTTTGGGAACAAGAAGAATCAACCGTAATGGAATACTCAAAAACTCACGGAACGATCTTGGCGCAAATTTTTTTCATTTGAATTAGAATTTCGTGGACCACGGTTTTGCCCAAATTAAGCTCTTATCTGACCGTTAAACGACGGTCCCCATTAACACAAGTTCGAATTCTTTCCACGTTTTCGTCGGAATGTGAAGTGGAAGGATGAACGTGGGTCATCTTGAACGCTTTCTCGGCCCTCTCTGAATCTTTTTAGCCACTTGTGGACGGTTGGTTCCTTCACAGCATCATCCCCATAAACTGTTCTGAGATCGGCAAAAATTTCACGGCCATTCTTGCCGAGTTTCGAGAGAAACTTGATTACGACGCGCTGCTCTTCAACGGAAGCGGGCTCCATGCCGACGGGGTTTCGTTAAGAGGTAACTTCACAGAAGTTCGCACCGCACGGCGGTCAGACCAGAACTGAAGCATTGTTAGGGACATAAGGAAGGGGTCCTGCGCTTACCTGGCCTCCCCACTCCTCTTTCTCGCATTCCAGAACACTTTTATACGAACTTTCCGGACAGACCTCGTATAGTAATAGATAGAGGCAAATAATAAGAATAAGAGAAAATATCAAACAAGATACTGAAAAAATTACATGAATATCATAAATAAACCAAAATTTTTAAATACATATTTCTGTATTTAAAATGATCGAAAACAGAAGAAAGTTATTAGGCCTGACAACACAACATGACGACTTTACAAAATCCATTCTAAAAGGAAGTAAAGAAGAAATAGAGGAAGAAGATTAGAAGTACAGAATTATGGTCTGGAATTAAGTCAGAAGAGCCTATTGTAGAAATTGACATAAATAAGTTGTCCTGACAAGAGGAAACAGTTAAATTCCGAGGGAAGCTATTTTATAAATGGTTATTGTGCTAAAATATGAGAAAAAACATACCATTTGTAGAACTGCAGTCAGCACAAACTTGGTTGCCCGGCATGGCTCTCACAGCTCTTATGATCGACCGCTGCAGGTCTAGCAGGGAATGTCCCGAGTCATTACTCTCGCCAGCCTGCTGATGAAACGCCCTCATAAGAGCACCATCCTTACAGTTGATCAGGACGGATGTCCAAGCTCGTTGTTCATTTTCATCATCCGCTTGAAAATGATAGGTACGATTATCTGAAACGAAAAATAATAAATAAATTCAAATAACTAAATTTTAGACGCTTCATCTTCATTTGAATATACTGTTTCATAATAATTTTATATATCCCTCAATACTTGTAAAAAAATGAAAAATAGATTGATATGAAACTGTTAAGTTATAAGTATATAATATATATGATATATAAGTATATTGTATATAGATATTACAGATCACACTATCTATCTATTTATTTAATCAATGACTATAAAAGGCTAGTGTATCGGATACCATTTAAAAGATTGCGCTGACCGAAAATATAATGCACGCAATGCTTATTCATAATAGAAGTGAGAATATATAAAATAGGATAACGCCTTACGATATTAATATGATAATAATCCGTAAGTGTTTCATGGAAATTAATCATACAGAATAATACTAACATGAGACTAGATCAAACGCCCTCTTGTCTTCTGAAGCTACTTTAATTTGACACGTCAACAGATTAACTCTCGCAGGTGGTTTGTTTTCATCCGCGTGGAATATGTCTAGAAAACCTTCAGCCGTGACCCGACACCGTCGCTTTTGCCACACCCTCCGGACTTTCCCTTCTGATTTTTTGAGCAAATATCCACTACGCGACACACCATGTTGTTTATCGCCTTGTAGTTGATGAAGAGAGTAACCACCGACGGACGAAGCTACCTGAAATGCAATGGTTAAAATATATCCATATATATATATATATATATATATATATATATATATATATATATATATATATATATATATATATAATAATTTTTTTTAAATGACTATGGTAATATAACACACATTCGAATGACAGAGATTTCTTGCAATAAAAAAAGAAAACATATTTATTTGATAACACACAAATGAAAATGCATACGTAACTAACAATTTTACCAACAAAATGCGGTGTATCAAATAAGTCTTTGCTCAACATAATGGCATGACGACGATGTCAACAACACTGGTATTCTGCGGATGCCTTTATGTAAATACGAGTACCATTATAATATATATATATATTTACATTTACGCGTATCACAATGAATAAACAAAATAGAGTTCCGCATACTACACCATTATAATCATAATTATTTACTTTTTAAACCTGTGTTACAAACAAAAAGTACATGTAATTTTAAAGTAAAAAAAAAAACTAAGATGTAATGACATATAAAATATAGAAAAAAATGTCTAACCTCCCTATCTTGTGGCGCCGCTGCCCTCAACATATTCCTTAATTCAAGTAACTTCCTCCTCTCGTCGTCCTGCTGCTGTCTGATCTTCTGTAATTGTACACTCAAGTCCGCAACATACACACCGAAATGTTCAATTGTCTTAAGTCCATCTTGGAAGTAATTTGTCTGCGCATGATAGTATTCTACAAGGTGCTGTAACAGCTCGATTCCTTTCTTCGTCTTGATTTCATTGAATTTAATCAGGTACTAAAATAAAAACGAAATATCAATCCACTCAATGTTATAGTGACCACCGCGAAAATGAAATTAAGCCAGCCTATCTCACTGGACAATCAGACAGAATGTCGCCAAAAACTGCGCGTGGGCATGATTATATTACTTCATCAGACGGTGGCTGATGGAACGCGGCGAGACAGACGGTTGTGCGAGTTAGACTGTTGAAATTACGAATATTATGTGAAACCCTTCCGCATGTTAAAATTATACCCGATGACGCACTTACGCGCATCTACGTTATAGTGAATCCAAAATTGTCTCTCAGCTGTGCAATAAGAGTGATGCGTCCTACGTAACCTTGCAGTACGTATTTAGCACGTCTTGCATTACATTGCGTTATAGTCTTTGAGACACCTACAGTACCTTCTCCAATTTTATGATACAAAAAGCCACTCATTCTATTTAGTGCTCATGCAAGATTACTAACATGACGAGAAAATGCGTGGGTCTTATGGGTCTTCAGTATTTGCATTGTACCGCGATGCCGGTGCGAGTTGGAACAAAGCGAGGGTCAGTGGCGACGGCGCAAGGCCGGTCGACGACCTGACGGCCGTCTCTGCAGTACCGCACCGACACCGACCACTGGACTTCTATTTTTTCAACCAATGGCTAATGACCTCGGTCTGCTAATGTTGTGTACTTGACAGGAAACAATTTATTTTGAATGACCACTGACATTTTTTATAACATGTACAGTCAGAAACAAAAAATAACTAGGTGAACCTTATTGTAATTCAGATAAATATCATAACTTATTTTTACTAATTGTATGATTAAGTTAAACTGTTTTGAAAAGCATTAAATGGAAGAGATGATAAAAAAAAATGGATCCTAGGGAAGCTATTCCAAAAGATATGCTATTAGAATCAATCTGACATTTAAAAGAGCCAACTTATTTCATCCGCCTCAAGTAATGGAATAAAATCTACATTATGTCGGACATGTATAACCACAAATAACCATGCTTTTATTTTGTAGAAATATAGGACACTACAAATTCTAATCATAAGGATAATAAAGTCATAACAGTTGTGCGCAAGTTCATAACTGACTGATAAAGAGAATAAACTATTGTTTTAGAACTATACCCTGTTAAAACGAATAACAATAACCTCAGTACATACCTATAGCTTTACAAACAAATATTAGTATCAAGATTATTTATTAATATTAGTTCATCACAATTCAGGTTATTCTGTTGATACTTCGCTCTACGGTGTAATAATGGGTTTTAAAAGAATACGGTAAAATAAGATTAAAAAATATATAATAGCTTTGGTTATTACGAAAGAGTCATATTTACTCAGAATCTGGTAATACCGTCTTTAATAAGTTCGGTGAAATTTGACGTGATTATTTATATTTGTGGTATACAAAATAGGTAACAACACATTAAACATACATATTTAAATTAAATACAGTGCCGATGATAACGCATCACGTGATTTCAGAATGTGGTTTCAGTGTTATGATACTTTGTTTATTATATTGAATAAAACCTTGACAATAAATCTGAAAGCAACCCAAATATCAGCAGATGGCACGAGTGAGATGAAATCAATTGTTATTGTGCAATATGGCCGTGATCCCGACGCCATTTGGCGTATTTGTATTACAGTTCAAGATAATGAGGCAGAACACTCGAACAATATATGCTGAACAAGAGCATTGCATTTGTGTTACGCAAGTAATAATATGCATGTTTCAATCCAGATTAAACTAGAATAAATAATGCAAACAACAAAAAATAAAAGCAAAGAAACTTTATCGTATTTTTACCCTGTCAGCACAAAACGAAATTTTACCAGTGAAATTGTTAATTATCATGTATAAATGATTTCTTTTTTTTAATTTTGGAAGAGGATCATTTAAAGAATGTGAAGGTTAAATGCAGTAGATTTTTTTAGTTGGAGGCGCATTTGTTTAGGTATCCCGTTCTCGCAAATTCTGCATATATACTTAGGGGTAGAGAGTGCAAGTTAGGGGCCATAGAGCAAGTAAGATAAACGACTTCAGAGCGTAAAGTGATAGATTACAAGTACACTGCGGAAAGATACAATTATTATATTGTCCTTTGAAAGATAAGAATTCAGAAATTAAACAATGTAATGCTTTGACTATGGAGAAGTTTAAACAAAACACGTTCTGTCGTTAAGTCGAAAATAAACTAGTACAATGGTACTTATCTAATACTGGGTCGCTACGGTAAACGACCGTCTGAATGCTTAGGTAATCACGAAATGAAGAGAAATCACGAAACTTATTATAATTCTGATAAAAGTTCGATAAGAGAAACAATATTTTTTTCAGTCTTGGCAAGCTTTTACTATTATTTTGGACTGCATTCAATCCCGACTGAAAAGCATTTTCGATCTTACGGCTAAGCCATAGAGGTCGCGTTAGAGAATAGATTTAGATGCGATGAAATGGAATATCCTACAATGGCAATATGACGTCGTGTTCTGGCACTTCACACGCATTATCAGAAATACCCAAGAGCAAACCAGTGTCACTGTCATTGTACTTATAACCTTTTAACTGTTTACACAGGAATTGTTTGCAAATAACGGCTCTTGCTGGCCACAAATACCAACTGCTATATGGCGACAGTTGCAACACTATCTGACAGCAGTAAATATATTGTTACAGATACTATTAATTTCATTTCAAGATACTATGTATATAGATGGTGGATGTATACAATTATAAATTGCAGTGCAAGTCCGTTTTATTGTTATCAGTAACTTTTATCTCGCGACCGTGTTTAGATATCGTGCGATACGTCGTGCAATTTTAATTGAAGTGAATTATGTTCTTAGATTAAATACGTCATTTATATGTTTGATATTAATATCACAGGTAATATTCTAGTGAACTGGTAATACTTGCACTTGGTTTCTATGAATTTATAAATATAATGTGTCCATTATTTAAAGTATATGACATAATTTTTATTACAACAATAAATAAAAGATATCAGTTTAATAAGTAGATAGCATATTTTTTGTATAATTTTTATCAAGAACTAAAATAAATAAAAGGCAAATAAACTCTATTTGAACTATACCTGTGGTACTCATAAATATCCAAGTGTGTCTGACCTATCATCGTAGTGTTGTGATAGTGGCAGGTCATTCACATTGCGCACGCGAATTATGTGAATGCTGTACGTAAAAAATTGCTAGCATGTTAGAATCAATACAAATTATATATGTATAAGAATGAGCGAATGAAATTAATCTATATCTTAACTAATAATAAAGGTATTGAGGATTAAATGAACTGTGTTTTTTTTTTGTCGAGGGATGAAAATGGAATGGTAACCCCGTCTGCGCTATCGGTATACACTAGCGGGCACCAGTGAAGGATGACAGATGTGGATGAAGCAGGTCAGTTTGCCCATCGTGATTAATTTATCTAAAATTAATCAAAATTGTTTTCAGTGGGACTCTACATGTAACCTACACCTTGTTATCTATCAGGATAGTAAGCCACAAGGCCACGGTGCTGAAATGATGACGTCGCCGCGTCGATGGAAAAGCTATCTGTAACGGGTCACTGAGTAGTTAGCTCGACATTTAGCTAATTAGTTATATCGGTCATTATTACTATCTCAGAATAAGTAGATTCTATCGGTAAATGATGACAGAGATGCAAGAGACGCGATTATATGATATTCACACTAAAAACAATAGCATACCTAACAAATTTTTAAAATCGCATTATCTAGTACTTTACCTATTCATTTTACAATTAGTGTAATCCGAAGAATGATTGAATATTTGTTTAATTTCTTATATAATCATAGGAATTCAATAGACAGAATTGGGAGAAAAAATTGTTAGTAATACGGACTACCAGTTTCATTACTAGCAATATACCCTGTCAGGTCTACTTCCACGTGGTCCCCCCTGGAAACTATCGTGCTGAATCCCAGGTATCATCATGATGGGCTAATTGACCTGCCTTTTCATGTCATTCCTCATTGGTACCTAGCCAACGTATACCGTTAGTGTGGGGTTGCCATTCCATTATCATCCATTAAAAAAAACCAACAGAATTAAATACATCTCTATAAGAGATCCTTACTAATATTATGAAATGACTTTGTTTGTTTCTTATACCGTCTTAACGGCTTAACCATTATAAAATTTGGTATATGCATATTATGTGGAATGGAGAAGAGATACAGGTTACTTTTTATTCCGGTCAGTAAACATATCCCGGTCACACGGACGATGTTGTGAGTAAAATCAGGTAGTAAATAAATATAAAATAAAATAATATAATATAAAACTGCGACAAGGTCGTAACAGTTATTTTTATGTAGTTTGAAAAATTACGTAAAGCATAATTTATTCAAATGTAACATTCCATTTGGAATCATACGAAATTAAGAATAGCTATCGTTTAATTATATAACAGTATTTTTGTAATTATTATAATATATGGATTAGCAAACCATACGCCTGTTTAAAAATATATTAGTGATGAAAATAACAAAAAGAAAAAAAAGGCACATTATTACATTTAAAATACTCTTACGTTGCAGTTTATTTTATTGCACCGAGATATGCAAAGGTATTGCCAGTAGGTTTAAAGTTTAAGAAATTGTAAAAGGTATGCTTGCTTCATGAAATATCAATAGTACTATATGACGATAAATTTTTCCATTCATATTTTTTTTTAATATAAAAGAAACACCATTACTTGTATAATATTTTTAAATAGTCAGATGTTGGCAAAATTTAAATTATAATACTTTTAAGTTGGACATGGAAGATTTGTTGACGAAATCTTTGAGAAATCTTTTATGTCATCATATTTTTCAATCAAAACACTACACAGTTGACACTATCTAGGTCATATAGTCAAAGCTAAGGGGGACTAAAAACCTACTTTAAATGATTTTTTTTAAGTATAAATGGTACAGTATAAAATTTGTTGAACTTATTAACTTACATAATGATGTAAAGTAATAGTTTTGGCAAATCTTAGTCATTCTAAGAAATATGAAATTAATTCTTTCTTATCAAACATCCTTTCTTTATGAGTATACAAGACAGGGATTCTGGATGCAAAATTAATTTAATGAGTCTTCGCAGGCAGTCGGCACAGTTTAAATTAATTTAATTCACCCTGCCATAAATATTAAACGGTCCGCAACCCGCAGCCAACAAGCCAACAGGTCTTTGCCCGTGTTGCACCCACTAATTGACTATTCTAAATCAATAAACCACCTTTAAAGGGATAGTACTTGGCACGTAGCCTAAAGTAGGTTTATACATAAAAGATTTAATTTCCAACTACTTTGTACCGTACCATGACGACTTACGACGAAGATAACGTTAAAATGTTACTTTCTGATGTAATAAATATAATGTTTCAAAATGTGTGTATATACTACAATTTAAAACGTTACGTATTACATATAAAATATATAATGCCTATTAGATATATTACATATATATTATTATTAGAATATATGGTACACTATAAAGTAGAGACACCTATGGCTCAGACAATATTTAAGTCTTAAACTATCTACAAGAAATATGAATACGAACTATTGTAGCAATTCCAGTAAGTGGGTCCCATATTCTATATGTGTAAGATATTTTTTATTCTAATTCACACCGGTAAAATTTATATACATACCATATATAACTCGTTTAAAAAAAATCAATATAACACTCATGGAAAATTTATGTATTTAGGTCATATCTGCATTCGATTTGCATAAAAATGTGATACTACCGTAAAGCCCCGTGCTATTATTGACTCTATTGACTGTTTGTTGTACTTTGCGATACAGAGTAAAAAAAAGATTTTTATTATTATTTATAAATTTATCTTTTAATTTCAGTTCATTTTTAAACAGCACATATGTATAAGATGAATTAATTCTTTATTTTATATTCTCTTTGATATCATGTTTGTTAAAGTCATCGTAAAATCGTTGGAGATTAACATCGCAATATAGTATAGCGATGCCAAAGGCGATACCCATGTTACGACAATAATCCACAGTTGAGTGGCCAATAAAAATAAAGCACGATCGTCCGCTCTCATATTAAGAAGCAAGTTTATTTTCTCTGTGCCAGTGTGCTCAATAATCTCGAATAGCAAATAGTATCTTCTTAAAACACGTTTCGTAACATCTCTACATTATATGCCTACAAACGTTGAGTGCTTCATATGAATTAGAACGTTACACGTGAATTCAGAGGTTTAACGTCGACTCTAATTTACGTTGGCGACCTCCTTTTCTACACTTAATTACTATATTTTGAACCTTATTTGTTATGAATTGCGTCATTGTTATGTATTATTAAATATATTGGCAGCAGGTGTAATTCGCAGGTGCAAAACGATCGATAGAAAGATTTTTTAATCGATATTGCTTTTAAATGAGCCACTATACTATTGTACGAGACATTTTTATTCTACCAAATAAATGTGCGGTTCAGTAACAGTTAACACATGATTTTAGAAAACAACATTAATTACTAAATGATTAAAAAAAAAAACGGGAATATCAATCGTAATAATATTAACGTGGGACCAAATACAAAAAATATTATCAAAAGTAGTTTAGAATTCGCGAAACTTTAAAGTATCAATGTTGCAAATTATTACAGGGTTTAGTTCTATGTTAGTTCCGTACTGTCGCTGTTGTGAGTAATCTCTTTTTGTCTGAGCAAAACATAGTTATATCCTATCCTTTCCACCAGTCACTTTATACACAGAAAATTAATAAACGAATATAGAAAATTATTTTAAAATAAAAATCTATTTTGTACTACCTAGGAACCACAACAAGTGGGAGAATTTTATTACTGACTCATTTATCTATTATACCTTACTATTTATTTAGCTTTGAACTAGACTGGAATCCATGAGTACTAGCGAAGTAAGTGACAACCATGAGGATAATAGTGTAGTTTGTAATGTCCATGATGCTGTTCATGTTTATAGGCGACGGTTACCATTTTCGATTAGGCGGGGCCGTCAGCTTGTTTGCCATCTTAAATATAAAAAAAAAAAACAAACAAACACATGTAAGTAAATCGGTAATAACCGGTATAAATAATTATATCTTATTATTATATTTAGATATATGACATTTTTTAAACATACCTCACACATTTGCAACTGGAATAATCGTCTCTCTTTTTCCATCTCATCCGCGATCTCGGCCGGAGTCACCTCACTCCGAATGAGACCAGCCTCTTTCGCCTGTGACTTTTTCTCTTTTTCAATTTTCAGGTACTTGGACTCATAATCTTTGGATGCTTTATCAAATGGCCTCTTCAGGTCGCCCTTTACTCCCCGTAAGTCACCTTTTAATAGACTGTCCACAGGGAACATCACTATGTTGTTTATGTTTTGCATCTGTGGGCAAAATATGAAATAATAGTTAACAGTTCAATTCAGATACATTCAAATCTGCTTAGATTTTTATAAATTATCATCATTGACACATTAATAGAACTTTTATATCGAATTATCATGCAAACTTCAATTTAAAAGGTATGAGTAGTAATTAATTTACATGTAGAGGCATTTAATACGTCGTCAAGTTCTCGCTAAGCATTAGCAATTACGTAGTAAATCAATAATGGCGCAGGTGACGTCTACCTACATAAAAAATAGTAGAAACATAGAATGCATTCACTTGGCAATTACAGAGCAAGTTGTTAGTAAATGCTCATTACATTGCAAAACTTTTGCATTCTAGATTTGCTAGACAGCTAACGTCGCGACGGATTGCCTCACAATCACAACTGTGGTTGATAGACAACAGACACATTTAGATGACGTACATACTTCAATACACAATTTAGACAAAATCATTAGCATACTTTATCAGTGTCACTGAATTTTCCCCTAAATAAATGAATGTGTTGAACTTGATGAAACATGGATTGAACATTTTGTGTCACCCCTACCAACATTTTTTAAGCCTAATGCTAAGCGTTAGTACACGAAGTTCATAATGGTGTTTTTTGAATTAGGGTTTAACATTGGGACTATTTCATTAAGGAAAATGTCAAGTGCTAACAAAACACTCCCTCTATTAAAATATACTAATAATTTTCACTTCATTCTGTAAACGAAATTAAGCATGTCACGCACATCTAAATCTAGCGGTGATGTGATTATAAAGGTTTAGTGTTTATAGAAAATCCTGTTTTCCACCAAAACTTTGAAAATACAATCTACTGTGATCTTTCGGTCAATTCATAACACTTCTTTCGATTTAAAGTTTATATAGGAACTCGGAATCTATAAGTTAGCATCTTTATATAATAATAGAGCCTAATATTGACACGCAAAATACATAATAGTTACGACATATATTCAAATGTATATGTATGATGTAGACAAACAGTTCTAGGCTATTGCAAATGCACCGCCCGAATAGTCAACGCTTGCGAGCTCAGTATCTGTGACAGTTGAGCAACCACAACCATAATTTCGTGCACACGTATTGGCAAATGAAGATTATATGCCATGGCCTTTAGACATCGATTTTTGCACATTTGCCAAAGATATACATTTTATCTAGTAAATTTTTGGTCCTTTGCGCTTTAAAAATTGATAATATATCATTGAACTAAATCTGTAATATAATCAATAATAAACCACTCATATTCTTTATTGTATACAAACATAATGTTAAAAACAATTAATTTTAAACGTAATGCACAAAGGCGAGTTTATCTCTAATAAGAAGTTTCTTTCAGCAAACCTTTTCAATCATATTGATGAGATAAAAATAATGATATTTGACACTTTCTCTACCTGCAATGTAGGAATCCTACTTGAAAATACATAGGTATTGTTTCTGTATACGTATAGGGTTCTGTAATCAACTAAAATAAAATTATTATTTAAGACAAATCTGTTCTGAAGATTCTGTTACTACTTTAATAATAGCAGTGTAATTAAAAACTTAAAGGGGCTTTCAAAATGAAATGGTAACTCAGTGGCTGTGAAACCTTTAGAGTTAATGCGTCGGTAACGACGAGGGACTGTAGGATAAAGGGTTGAACTAAACAATGAATGAACTCTTCCCGGACATTATTATCAAAAATTGACTTGACTTTTTTACTATATTGGACTTTAAACATTAACCAGAATCAATTTTTAATAATTTGAAAAAAAAAAAAAGAAAACATATATTATACCGCATTTGGTAATCAACAAATCGATTAATAGCGATATTTAGATGCGGGTAAACTCCTCATAGGACATAATGTCGATTGATATCTTTAACACAATGGCTTGCACGCAATATTCCCATCGTAATATGTAACGCTCGATTAACTTACACAGTGCTCCTCAGAACAATAAACACTCGAGCTTTCGCTTTCAGTAAATTAGTGGAATGTAGGCAAGATTTGTTTAGATAACTTGTGTATTGTAGGTGCATTATATACAATTTGTTTAACAAATAATACCGAATAAGAGATAAGATTATTATCTTACTAATAGTATAAATGTGAAAGTTTGTTATATGTTTGTTACTCAACGCTGAAATAATTGAACAGATTTAAATTAAGTTGTATACACGGGTAGATTACGAGTATATATCCTAGTACATTTAACAATGGTGCACGCGGGCAAAATCACGAGAAACAGATAGTACAGGAGTTCATCAAAAATAGTGTGATTGTTCACACTATTTTGATGAACACTAATTCCTGTATTGCAGATGATATGGGTGTTATAAGTCCTGGAGTTCTTCGTAGGAAGCAGTAGAACGAATTCTCTTTTCTCTGAATATTAAAATACGACGTACCAGCTAAAAACTATTTAATATATATATATATATATATATATAGCCAGTCTTAATAGGGATGATGATTCTGATAATATGCCATACTTTCGGAATGGCGGAATAAAGAAATCAAAAACATTGCACTTCTTTTTTGAGTAGTCGAGTAAAAAATACAAAACACTATCAATACATGACTAGACTAAAAATTGCACATTAAACTAAATGAATCCAAGCCAGTTCATATAAATTAAGTAACAAAAACGTAATGTACGAGTTACACATATCACGATCATCATTTAACTAGTATGGTGCAGCAAACAAAAAGTTTATACCACGCCATTGTATTTAAATCTTTGTCACACGATTAAAACAACTATAACTAGTAAAGATTTGACCTTCAACTATTACATTTGACCTTTCATTATGCTTCATTTCGGTAACTTTATAAGTTAATTATCGATTAATGTAATCTTTGTCAAGTAAATATGGTGCGATATGACATACATTACTAAGATTATTAATAAACATTAACTACTGAGTTTTATTAATTAATAAAACCTTATTCCCTAGAGCACTATCAAAGCAAACGAAATGTATTATGATAAAATCATTGGAACTTTGTAAAGTAATTCAACAACTGGCAAACATCAAACTTTACCAGTAAAATGAAAATAGAACGAGTTTTGAATTCTAAAAATTCGTTTTATTGTTGATTCATTTCAGTCATTTTGAGTGAGAATTTTCTAACAGCGCTGTACATTTATATAATATTTTCTATATATAATTTATATATAATTATTTATATAAAATTTATATAATATATATCCACTTGTATTCTCTTTTATGTGTACTTTATAAACAAAATAATTATAAACTAGTTATTGAACGACTGTCCTAATGGGCATATAATTTAAATATGCAATTATATAGTTTTTTATGTTACATTTTTATTAGTTATGTCACGGATACAATTAAATTATGCTTTCAGGTCACGACGCGTAATGACCGAAAAATTTTCTATTAAACTTAAGTATGTAGAAAGTTCATACATTAAAAAAATTATAGGCAGAGTTGTCGTTCATCTCAAATTCTTCATTAATTTATGCTTATAATACACAAAATCTTCCTTCAAGTAAAAAAGCTGTTCATTAATAATTCTATAACAAATGTCGAGTTAAAAGGTCTCGGTCTGACAGGTTTAAATGAATATTTAACAGGTACCTCAAAGCGTTTCACACATCAAATATTAAAATGAAGAGCCTTTAGGTGTTTACGACAAAGCAAAGCTAGGTATTAAACTAAATTAATAATAAGGAAGTTCATTTTTATTAAACATTGATTTTAATAGTCAATAATTGCAGCAAACATCTAAAATTACAAGTAGCTACACCTTACGTTATTATGTCTTATCTCCTCATATTAAGTCCACCTATTAATATCTCACTACTGGGCATGGATCATCCCTTTAATACCTATATACAAAAAAACAACATTGGTAAACGCATCACTTGAGAAAAGCTGAACCGATTTCACTATTTTTTTTTATTTACATAATAGTCTGGTTAAAGCTCTTAGTAAAAGAATTGGAATAGTTGCCCATAAAGTCGGAAAAAGTCAGAAAAAGTCATAAATTTTGTATGCACTCTCGATATTCGAAACTTCGTTTTACAGAACTTGATTGTATAAGTCAACCGCCGTGTGGTCTCGGTGTAGAATGGACCACCTTTTCCCTTCCCGTGACAGTCGTAAGAGATGACTAAGGGAGATTAATGGCCGAAGGATAGGCAGCAGCTCTTCAAACATCATCAAAGTCTGGCTGCAGTTGCCAACGCGCTTGCTAAGCGTGGCAACCATTGGCAAAACCGCCTAATAAGGGGAGACCTATGTTCAACAGTAAACAGTCAATGGCTGATATGGTACGGTAAGTCAACTTTCAAAAACTTTTTTATTAGGTACCTATAGCCTACATTAGGTATAATAATATCCTTTACACACGTAAATAATGCAGATATAAAAAACAGTTTTAATATATTAAAAAACTCGTATTTATGTAAAGAAAAGTGATTACCCATAAAGAAAAATTTTGTCGGGGAAGCAGAGCGAGGAAGCCGGGTCTCCCTTCATGCGAGACATGACAAGTTGTCGACTCAAAGGCGGGTCAAGTAACATAAACGAAGTTATTTTATAGACTCTCTTGTCATGTAAAAATTTGTGTGTAACTAACTTTACGTCAGATCTTTACCGGAATAATTAGAGAGAACTGAATATTATCAATCTGTATATAGCTTCATAATCATCAATCATTTCAGACATTAACTGAGCGTGTTAATTATTAAACATAGGCCTTTCCTGTAGACTGTAGAGTCGTAAGAAAATTAAAACGTTCCTGAGCTACCTACTCCTCATTACTGACTCAATCACTTGCCAGTTATTCGAGCTTTATGGTCTACCGATTATTTATTTATTTATTATTTATTGTACAATAAAACTTTATACAAATGGCGAGCTTAATACCATATGGCATTCTCTACCAGCTAACTATTAGGTAAAAACAGAATGCGCATATGAAGAGCAAAAGTGGTGAAAAATATGTGACATAATTATTGTATTACTTACTTATCACTTTAGATTTCTGATCATTCATTCAGTCATATTAATTTTTCTGCGGATTATCTCGTTTCGAATTCTATGACGCAGAAAAATTCCGAATATAACCCTCTCTACATCTTTAACCTTCCTCATACAGCTAGCAGCGTATTATGTATCGATTCCGTAAGAGGATACGAAAATGTGGCGTAATTTCCTGAACGCTGCCCAATCGAGTTGGGCTCCCGACTGACCTCCCGGTTAAAATTGGACTTGCCTTCTCTGACAAAGTTATAAACAATAGCATGAACATCATAGCATATAGCGTACCGCCCTTGATACCTCTTATGCGGTCAATGCTCACGACTAAGGCGGCCCTCTTGTATCCCAAGTTATTTATACAACTTTTTTGTTATAAATAAACTATGGACGGTTACTATAAAAGCCATTGTATCATATGTATAATGCTAAATATTTCTCCCTAAAATATCAAAGCTTCACAGCTTTGAACAAGGACAAAGGACTGCAATGCCAGGTCAAGGGTAGGTCGAGGATTCTGCGCAGTCCAAAAGGAGAGCTCCGTACTCTTTATGCTCGTATATGCACGAGGATTAGTAAATTGGAGCGAGGTTCGAAACGTGTCCCTGTAAGCTACTTAGTAATATTATATGTTACATTATTTACGCAAAACATTGTATTTAAATACTAGAACTATATAAAAAATGTGTAGGTATGCTGCATTAGCAGTTAATATTTTCTTTATGAATAACAACAAATGAATCTTATGTTATTGGGAACTAAATGGCTATTTTTTTAATCATAATATAATAATTGACGTAACAGTCATTTGTTGTGTCGTATGTTGAATATTTTGTCTATATTATTCTACTACATCGTCATTCTTCAATTTAATTGTAAATAGTTTTAGAGATGATATTCAAGTAAATTATCATAGTTTACCTAAATGATCGCGTTAATTCCCGTCTCTTATAAAACATTTTTAATCCATAATTTTATTTTTTGGTTACGGTTCTGTATGCTACTTACTTTTATTTTGACATTTCGGGTAGAATTATAGATTGACATACCATATATACCACTATATGGACATCGACATCTATAGACGATATACATATATAACAATTTTATTTATGTGTATGTGTTAATATATTAAATGGATAATATAGACACAATGAATTTAAGTTTTTTTTTTTTTTTTTTATCTTTATAATGGTGAGGTTTTGGAGCCAAAGTGCATACATGCAACATGTAGTGCTATCGGGAATACAACACTAACTTAAGAGAGTTGGTAAAGTGAAACTGCTCATATAAAAATCATACAAAACAATATAGCCCGTATTCATTCAACATATTTGAGTTATGAGCATTAATCGCTTGGTAGATGCTAACATTTGTATTTCGACCTCTCATCACCCTGACCTATTTTCTTGTAAATCTGCCGCTGCGCCCACGCACCGATAACTACGTCAGTTTAGTTGCCAACCTATACCGAATGTTTATGCCTTCACTCGCATATTCTGAGAAGGACTATGTATGTAAATACCAATCGCGTTCCGCAAAACTGATAGGCGGATATCATGTTACCTTTACCAAACGCAGATTATAATTAGGTGTAAAATAATAAAATCATGATCATCATACTATTGAGGTTGGAAATAAAGCAATTGATAGTTGAGTGATATTGGAAGGATAAAGTGATAGGTTTCAACCTATAGTATAACCTATAATAACCTATCAGTGATTTAAAAAAAAAAAACACTTATTGTTTAATATTTCAGCAAATACATGTATAGTGCTCATATTTACGACAAAACAAATTATAAAAACATAAAAAGTTCAACTTATGTTAAAAGTTACGTGGTGTTTTCGCAGTTTGTAAGAACAACTGAGTACTTTTTTCAAATAGACGTATATCTGTCTCCAGATAGGTGTCGATTCTTAGTTACTACGTGAAAACGTATCGATAAAATTTAGAACATTAATAAATTTGCCATCGATCTATTATCAAGAAAATGTTAAGGTGTATTATCAACATTATTAGTTTACCTCAAGCACATAAGTTTTAAATGGCTTTAATCGAGGAACGTATATATTTTAATCCTATTACAGACGGTAGTCAAACCCCATTTGTCAAAGACCACAGCAATAGTTTTGTAAATTAATGATTGATTATTATAAATCCTTGTAATTAATAGAAAAGTAATAATGAATTTATTATATATATATAAATGACTGGTCAATTTTGAAGATAATTATAATCAATATATCCATAAAATATAATTATTAATGAAATGTATTATTGAAAATGTATGTAATATTTGAAAAGCCAAATTAGCATCTTTTATAAATAATTAAGATAAACTCACCAATGTCTTCATAAGGGCTGATAACTCTTTGGTGACGACAGCGAACTTGAGGAACGCTGCTGCGATGTCTGGCTCTGAATCTTTGTTGAGAGCGTTTCCACCGAGCCTTTCCAAGGCTCGCGCCAAATACATCTCGTTGTCCACGTGTGCTAAAACAATAAAGTACGTACAGAAGTTAGGACAACATTTGTAGACATTATTTTCATTACAAATGAAAAATGCAAACATACTGATGGCCCAAACGAAAACTGGTAATCGTTTTCATGACAGCTAAAGTAAAAAAACATCATACCATAGATATGCTGTGGCGCTGATTATAAATGTATTAATAAAATATGATCCGTCATCAATAAAATATAGAATACAACGAAAACATACTATAAAAAATATGTAGTATTAAAATACATAATCCCAATACGAGAAATAAATCGTCTACGGTGATATTTTTTACAAATAACACCGAACACAATAAATAGGTAATTCAATTGATAAAGAGTACTCAAAATATATTATCTATAAGTTTGTCAGGCGATTGATCTAAAGTTGTAGATAATCATGTCATTTAATTTAATAAATGTGAGCATTAACCGTTTTTTTTGTTATGTGACTTAGAACAGCAAAGAAACTGACGGCCCACTTAATGGAAAGTAGTATCCATCGCCTATAAACACGAGCAGTACCTTAAATATAACAGTGTACTGTTTCGCCCATGATACCGCCCATGATACCCCCCATGTGTTACCATTCCTGAAGACTAAGGTGTTATTCCTTTGTACCCTGTGAATTCACTGCCACATCCCAGTCTCCAAACTTCCAAACACAGCCATGTAATAACAACTGCTTCACGGTAGAATCACGAATGGGACAGAAGTACCCAAGCAAACGACTTTTGTACAAAGTCTCCCTCTGGTAGACGTCAACAGAGACAGACAAATTAAATGTTTCAATCTTCGAACACCCCTCTGCATTGAGGTTTTAATTAATCAGAAAAAAGTACAATTTAAATCGAAAGCCCGTTGTCTCCCTTTCAGACTTTATCATCAGATTAGATCATTAATATCTTCGGCTATGGTTAAAATTGAGAGATCAGAAAACTTTTTAAAATATAGAACGTCAATTTAGTATCTGTCTATTCAATTTGACATACATGATCTTGTTATGTAGATGAAGGTAAATATATACAGTTTCATCAAATAGACAGGTAATCAATATTTTACTGAAGTTCCAATAGCAAATCTCCCACATGTAAGTGAAACAGCTGGCTACAATATGAACACATTCGTATAAATTGCGTTAGCAACTTTATAGAAGGGGCTTTTAGCTCTCCTTGGAATTAAAGTTTCATTACATTGGTACTACTATAGATACTCGATGTGAAGGGATTTGTTCGTGATGTCGAGCATTTAATTAGTTCCTCAGTTGGATTAACTTTATTGTAGCTCCAGTATTGAAATCCTTTTGTGGTTTCTCATGTTCAATAATGATAATTCATTGGTAAAATTAATAAATTAAAGATAAAACCATCTCAATCATACGTAATTACGTATTTCAAATTTATTTCAAAAACTTCGTAATAGAAAAGGTCATGATTAGTTAACAATGATATTATAATCAATGTTGATCCTACACGTTAAACAATGGTGATAAAATTAAAATTCCCAACTTAAAACAACTATAATAATATCCCAGATCTACAGACAACAACAACAACAACAACTATTACAGACAAATATACGTGTGTTACAAAAATAGTCCCACAAATTAGATATACTTTTATTTTTTTATTCAAGTGAAATCTAACCATGAAAAGTGATTTTACCGAATTTATCAATATATTTAATAATCAATATGACTTTAACCTATTCATATACGAGTTGAAATTTAAACTATTATCATATTTTAGAGACAGTAATATTTTTGAAATAATTTGGAGATTAAAAGTAAAAATGGAACAAAAAAGGGACCTAACCTTTTGTCAAATAATAAAATTAAACAGTCTGTTAAGTAAATAACGAAACAGTAAGGACATTTACTTACTTAAAGAATGTTGTTACACAGTTCTTTCTAAACACTAATTTGTATAACTGGATTGGTTAAACTTCAATTGGAGTCTTAGTTATTGCCAGCCTTTGGAAAGATTAAAAAAGGATTTCAAGTCTTATTTACCTCAGAACTTTATCTACAACGGGAGACCTTTAAGAATTATAAGCACTGTACCAGTATCGAAATAAAATAGGTAAACGAGATTAAAGTATAAAACTAAAACTACTATACGAGGTTTGTCCGGAAAGTACGTATAAAAGTTTTTTAAAAATTTTATTTTACAATTATTCAGGTAAACAATTTTATCCCCTTCAAAGTATACGCCGTTTCCACTGTGAGAAGGCTCCTTGAAAGTCCTCTGGTTGTAGGTTTCTCAGCTGCCCCGTCGTAGCTTTTTTTATCTCATTTATGTCCCCCAAATGCCGCCCCCGAAGTACCAATTTGGTTTTTGGGAACAAGAAGAAGTCACACGGGGCCAAATCCGGCAAATAGGGGGGGTGTTCGGTCACCGTAATGGAATTTTTACTCAAAAACTCACGGAACGATCTTGGCGCAAATTTTTTTCATTTGAAGTTCGTTTCTTAGAATTTCGTGACCGTTAAACGACGGTCCCCATTAACACAAGTTCGAATTCTTTCCACGTTTTCGTCGGAATGTGAAGTGGAAGGACGTCCTGAACGTGGGTCATCTTGAACGCTTTCTCGGCCCTCTCTGAATCTTTTTAGCCACTTGTGGACGGTTGGTTCCTTCACAGCATCATCCCCATAAACTGTTCTGAGATCGGCAAAAATTTCACGGCCATTCTTGCCGAGTTTCGAGAGAAACTTGATTACGACGCGCTGCTCTTCAACGGAAGCGGGCTCCATGCCGACGGGGTTTCAACTTCACAGATGGCGTGACAACAAGTTCACCGCATTGAAGCATTGTTAGGGACATAAGGAAGGGGTCCTGCGCTCGAGTTCTCTACTTTTTACGCACGGCTGTGCCAGATGTTACGTTTCAAATATTTTTTACAATATACAGAGCTATTCGGTGCCCCTTCCTACTATTATAACAGGATAATTGTGCGGTAATTTCATACCATATATTTAACAAAGCCATTTTAATTTTAAATAGACTTTTATTTTTATTGACGGGTTGTATGAGGAAAAACAAAATATTAAACGCATGACTTTAAACGCATAAAAACTACAAGTATGCACCTGCTATAACTAATTTAAAAGATCGTTAACGGAAATCTTTTTAGAATTTGGTGGGGTAGAAATAGAAATATATAATAATCTAGAGTTCGATCTTAGAACGACTCTTGAATTGCTATCTCTCGAGCACTTCATTTTTAAGTTAGTTCAAACTAAGATTTCTTACCAATCTATAAAGTAGTTTTAAAATAAAGTATAAATAGTTTTGGAAGGCGATGAAAGAGCACGGAGATCCGTGTCGCGGCCCACATTTGCCTAGCTCAATCCCGCCGACGCTCTCTGAATATTAAAATGCAACTGCCTCACGCCTTTCAATTTCTCCATTTTGTCTGGGTTTGTAGTTGGCTTCCATTCTGTATAGGCTTAACGAAGACCAAAGCCTTTCATCAAAGTTAGATGTCAAATAACCGATAATGAAATAATAATAAACATTAACAAGAAATTCTAAATTACTATATAAAAAATTAACGGTACGGTACAGATGATAATATAATAGTTACTAAATTCCCAACTCATCTCTTATATACTGTATATATCTTACATATTTTATATTCTGAACTCAAGTTTGCCCAATATCTTGTTAATTCTTTTACCACAAATACGGGCCCCTCTGATAAAACCTATGTCATTTGGCCAAAAATTTATATAATATCATATCCTTACCATTTAGAAATCTCTATTATAAATCATACGAGTTATATTACGTTACACGTTTAAGTTAACCTGAATTTCTACACTACAAAAGTTACTATTGTTTTTTGAAATATTAACAAGCGATGTAACAATGTCCAGATCGGTCTGATTTATTGCAGCCAATTTAATTTCAATTGTTATACAATTTACAATCTGTCTTTTCTATTTATTTAAAAAAGTCTCTAGTTTTAACGTTAAAATCATCTACCTAAATTAGATTAATGTTTTAATTCAATAGCGCCTTATTGGGTCAAATTAAGCAAATTAACAATTGCTGCACTTCGTCACATCGCACTATGAATATCAATATCATTCATTGTTATGGAAGGATTCTGATTGGTCGTTTTTGCAGGCGCGCGCGCTCGACCTTGTCAGCTGCGCCTGTGGCTTGGCGCAATTTGAACCCGCGCGACCAGTTCCGAGACGGGTGTACAGCCGCAATAAACAAACCCCAGCACGCGATGGAATTGCAACTGCACTACAAACTAGTATCCTTTTATTTAGCAAGTGTATAAAATGTAAAAGATCTATTTCTTTTGGACAATCTTAGCAAGCTCCAATTTGTTTCTTTCAGTTTATTATCTGCGGTAGCGATTGCGATTTACATTGCAAAAATTCTTTGATTCTTCTGCGGATAACCATATTAGTAGTGTTATTTTATTTACCAAAAATACTCATAAGAATTTAATTTTCATACATACAATATTAGTATAGAAATTTAAAAATTAAAGCCTAAATAAAAAGATATATTTTTGAAATATTTGAGCATATATGAAGCCTGAATGCAGTTTGTATTTATAATGTAAAAAAGCTAATAACATTTGACACATTATTTAACACATTCTTTTTAATAATTTTCTTTTGCTTGTTTTGACTACATTTAACGTTAAGAATTCTTATTATATCCGTTTATCTCATACTTCATTACTTTGTTGCTCTTCTCTGAAATGCTATGATTACAAACTAAAATGTTCAACATGTTAGCTCTGGCATGCTTTTGAAACCCTAAACAAAAAGCAAGCATTACTGCGAACAAGATTCTTTATATTAGAAATAAGGAAGATGATGCAACATCAATGGGGATATGAGTATGTATACTACATACGGGGTACATATTAATTCAATGTGCAACATAAGTACATATCAGACAACTCTTAGCCATCTATCAAATATCTATCCATGACAAACTAATAAAATTTCTAATCAGGATGTTAACATTATTATTAAATATAACATATCAACGACTGATATTAATAACTATTGTGATATTTGGGTCACTCTAGCCCAATGGATTGAACGACTTTCGTCCTTGAAAATGATATTACGTTATTATGTATAATCGAAAGTTATAAATTGGATTATATTCTTACTAAAAAACACACTAACTAAAAAAAAATGACATGTATAAATTTTTAATCAAATAATAGAATAAATGAACTATGGTTATCATAATAAAGTCAGTGAGTAGCACGTTTTAGTTGGTAAAATAAAAAATGCAAATACAAAGTGAACGCGTGCAAGCTGCCTCATGGTAACAAAGTGCATCGGTATGAACAAAAGAAATCAATAGGCCCGCTGCGCTGCCTCTGCATTAAATATGTCAACCCTTGTTTGACACCACGCGATGTACTTGTAATAAATTAGGCGGATTAACTCTTTAATGAAATTATTATGCTGACAAAATCAGTGCAGTTTCGGTTGAAACACAGTTTATGATTTTAAATATGACTGTAAAGACTTTTATTCCTTATTTTACTAAACGCTGATGAGCAATATAAAAACAGCTTTTTATTTTAGACGACTTTACAATCCACACCAGTTCTTACAGGTTCAGCGGGACGTGAAGAGTACAGAAGAAAATTTTTATTCTTACTTTTAATCTTTTCAGGAACAACTCAAGCATTATAAAGGTGTTAAGACTTTAGTATGATGACAATTTATAAATTACTTACAGCTAATACATTGTTAATGCAATCTGTTAAACCTGCATCAATCTATCAGACAAGAAGACATTGAATGATTAAGATGTTTAACGTGTTAATCATGACTTCAAAATTACCATAATTATGATTTTATGTTATCTATGGTTCTGCTCTTTTTTGATAAAAAGAAGCTTGAGATGATACTAAACAAACATTCTACAAGAATGATGGATTATTTGTATAATGTCATATTTTAATGCGTCATTTCTCTTTTGCATTTTATTCAACTTCCATTATAATGCATCGAATGTTTCGACTGTTCTAATCTCGTCTATTTATATTGCTTCCGCTATCCCTATTTTAGTCAGTCTCGTCCCGTGTCGTCTGAATAGTAGTAATAGAATACAAATATTCGAAACAATTTAAATATTAACAGACATGGTATTTTTGTGACCTAAAGAGTAATGTTACTTAAACTTTTAGAAAAAATAACTACAGAAATTCTGGACGTTATTAACCTACAACATTCGAATCAGTATGCATACAACGTGTCTCAAATATGAATAGGGCTTTATGGCTGTCCTCTTATCCCTAAAAAGGTTGTTGTTCTACATACCATTTCCAGAATTGTGTATTGCCTTTACAGCCTTCTTCAGTTTCGTGAGGCCATCTCGGTCGAAATCCAACGTCTGAAACAAGACACGAATACATAAATTCACTGTTGTTTCCTTTAAATCCAGCCGTAGTGGTTGCTCAAGTTGGCTTTCCTAAATATTACGACAGGGTGGAACAAACTTTTTGTTGTTCAAACGAGCTGTCAGACTACAGAGTGGCCCACAATGGATCCACGAGCCTTTCAACGGTCGGCAGCAACAAACATCTGCCGCTCCAAGCGGCGATTAATCAATACCCCCTCTGAATTAAGCAAGGCCGAAATAAACTTGCTACTTTTAGGTTCCTCAAGTGCTCTACCTTAACTTTTTAAAGCATTTAAGTGTTTGTAATTATATTAATATATCCTGGATATGAGTATTTTAATGAAAAAAAAAAAATATAAATGACAATAACCATAAATAAATAAAGTATTAAAACTTTTTATGCCATGACGTATTTATACTTTGGAAGTAAATTTAGTAACCAAATAATCAGTTTATGATCATTTATTCCATCTAATATTTAAAAATAATCCCATCAAAAACATTAAATGTAAAAAAAAAGCCAAAGCTCACAACACAGTTCTATCACGACAAAATATTTTAAGATCTCATGTAACTTACAGTAATTTTAGTTAATGTCTATGTAAACAACTTTTCAACAACTGTTATAAATTGTTATCTTATCAATAACCTATCAACTTTTATAGTGATTGTAACAATATCATCCTTGTGTTAAAAAGTGCAGTTTATATTTTTACTTAGCAATCGTAATACATTTTGGTTTTAGATGTTTTTTTGTATATACTTATCATATTGTACAATTTTTAAAAATCACTAATTTTCATTTAATGAAATAAAATTGTAGTAATTTTTCTTTTTTCCTTCCTTTATAGGCTAAACACTAAGTAAAATTCAAAATTTGAAGTATTTAATATTTGCTAGAAGTATGTTAGAATTTCGATGATCTATGATGATGACTAGATAACGCAATAAGACATTTGTCTTATTGCGTTATCCAGTGCAGGTATTTATTACTAGCATCATATCTTGTACGTACTCGTACCTATATGTAATTTCTGTTCAAAAGCAACAAAACAAAAACATTGTCATCGCTAAAGGATAAATTTTTTCTTGTCTTACTGAAGTTATGTGATCAAATCAATATTGAAATATTTATTCATTAAATTGCCTGCTTACTATTTGTATTATTCTAAAATTGATAAGATTTGTTTACATTTTGTTTGATAATAGAATACTTTTATTGCGAATAACATGCTAATATTCGTAAAAGTCTTACATATATAGCTCATTAAAAACAAACACTGTAATGTTCGTTTTCTTTGTTCAACAACTGATGACAAGTCGCCAATGGTATTAAATGCTTACTTAGAATGAATGACAAATCATTCTTTGCACGAATGTAAACATGTTAACGCAAATCATAGTTCGACGACAAATCGAATTAGAACGTGTGAACGATATGAATTTACACATTGTATTTGCTAGATAAATACTATAAAACCAAAAGCCGTTTATATAAAGGTACTATATATGAAATCATATATTAGATTTGTAACTTAAAAGCATAAAATTTAAAACCATAACCATAAAATTAAAAGATTAATATTGTCCAATGATATCCATGAATAAGTGGTTTATTTAATTAAAAAAACTAAATAGTAACATCGCATTTCCTGTTAGTTTAGGCTAATTGGATACGAAATCATGAACGAAATCATGTCAGTTGGGCTATCATGAATTCATTAGAAATTTATAACGATGATTTTTACAAGGCATGCTCCTGTCGTTTAAGTGACATCGCTGTTTCGATAGGCCAATCAGTGTAAGCAATATAGATACTTTTTTAATTAGCCAGTTCTGGCCTAAGTTACTATCTCTAGATTATTGTCATTTGATTTCTTCTAACATTGGCTAACTTAAACATTAATTTATGGGATTGCGTTACACTTTTATCTTTATTTAAGCAATATATGATATGACAGAGACTAAAGGTATAATGACTCATTATTAACCTGTTGTAATTTACGACAATTAAAGTTCGTTGTGTCCAATTTGAAAAACTGAAGAGCACAAAATATGCTTTAAACTGATAACGTAGACACACATTAAAACACAGTGGCATTAGGCAATCTACCAAACAAGTGCTCAGTCAGTGTTTGAACTGAACAGTAAGAAAGCACTCGCTTCCGTTGCAATGCCCTAGTAATGTAATCTTGGTTACACTGAGGTTTTATTTTGACATTCTATCAAAAGGCATTCTATAAAATTAATCATCGAAGCAAATGCTGAGAACTTGGACCAATTTACTGTAGTCAAGTCTTTAAGGCCGGGGGAGCTATTGTTTAAAGGGCCCAATGTTATCAATATACTGTATCTGGTCGACCTTCACCTGGAAATTATCGTGGTTTATTCCTAGTAAATTAAACATAATATTTTTATACTCATTTCTAATTGTATTACCGTTTGTCATAGCATTTTTCACTGTTATTTTTAAATGATGCCACTTGAAAGAAGTTTTCAATTTGACGGTAACTATTTTTTTGTGTTACGCTCTATCTACGCCAACTCTGTAGAGATTTCAATAATTTGTTATTTATCAGTTGATAAGATTTACTCCGCTGTTAATTCTGTACTCAGTTTTTTAGTCTTTTTTTTTTTTTTTTGTAGGAAAATCCTAGATTAATAAGTTTTTATCAACGAAAAAAATAAACGCACTATATAATAAATATAGTTACCATAATAACTTCATAAAATGCGCAATAAGAACAATGAACAGTAATATCTCGATATGAATACCTGGTAATAAGTCGGTCATTAATCTAGAAATAATGTGTATCATAACTACCAGAAACTACGGAACAACTGGGGCGCAACAAAACGCTATTAATTAATACGAGTTTCTAACTAGATTATAATTAAATAGCTTCACCCCTATGACCTATTTGTTACACAGTTCTCCGATGTCCGTTTACACGACAAAGGAATTATGATCCTCTCGGAAGTATTATTAATTACTAAACCCCTATAATATCCTTCACGCATACATTATAGATTTAACAGTCCTGTCTTGTATTACCTCATAGTTAATTGATGTAGTATTCAAATTAATGACTAAGATTATATTGGTATCCTTACTGTACAGAAGTAATTCAGCCTTACAAAATACCGGAGGGTTTTTCAAGGTTAGAGTGAATATGCTGTATTTAAGTTTGCGTGTAACACCTTACACCTCAGTCTCAAGAAATTGTTGTTATAAAAATAAAATAAAAATCCAGTAACGTGAAAATGAAACGAAATCCACTGAGTGGTTATGCCCTTCCATCAAATTGGTCACGATTTATATGCGAACTTCCTTCTTTACTCTTGAATCTTATATAATCTTTATTTACAGGAAGCCGTCTTAAGCATAGTTTGACTGGGGTGCAACAATAAGAGCTGTGCTTATCCTTTCACCGTCAAATAATTTTTGACGAATGGCGAGGGGTGCAAAGGAACAGATTGCACTCCCTAGTTTTTTTTTTTTTTTAACAACGGAAAAAGTAAAGTGTGTACGCAATATTCTCCCTAAGATCCTACGCCCGTGTCAAGAACCCCGTGCACACCGCCGTCAAGACGGGCCTGTTTATATACACAATATATCTTTTTAGTATTTCTCATTTGTTCGAAGCCAACATCTTCAATACGTTATGTTGAATGTGGGTCTTATTGGCTTCTTTGAAAAATAATTTTTACCAGATTGCCGAAGAAAGGAGGGTAATGTTTTTCACGAGTACGAGTATATGTCCGGTCCTCTAGTGTATGGCACAACGTGTTGTGTAACTAAGTGATTTGAAGCATTTTAATAAATAAAGTGGCATTTCATACATTTTAAATGTATGACCTGCATAATGAAGACATATATGTACGTATATTCGAAATTCCCTCAAAACTTTAGTGAAATGAATTTATCACACTCATTGCAGCCTTAAAAATTAGCCAATAAAATGGCTTATACCTAACAATTAAACTAGTAACAATAGATTTAAATTTAGAATCAACATGCACATAGACATCATATAAAATAACCGAAACAAACATTTTTTATTAACGCTATCAAAAATACATCAAATGGTTGTATGGCACCGTCATCACACTATTAATCGTGGTTTGTGGTTAGTTTGTGTATCTTAATTATAGTTATCTATAAAGCAGCGATAAATTGGATTCATATTGAGAAGGTCAGAGGAGGACGCTGCCATTTGTAGGGTTACCTACGAAAAAGGTAAATGTGAGGGATTTCGTCCATCTGTCTATCACGGATGGGGGATGATGTTATCGACGTCTATAAGACCTTTCAAAAATACTCTGTTCGTTTTCCCCAAGGCTCAAGGGGCGCAAAACAACAGCTTACCATTACCGTCATTGTAATGTAATTCCACATCATTGCTTTTGTTGTTAGACTTGTCATACTACACTCCTACAAGGTTTCAATGCGATTAGATTTGCTCTTCGGGAGAGCTCTAGAACCCTTCGTCAAAGTTTGTCATGCGAAGAATCTGTTAATACAAACACTATAAAAAAAGATGGTGCCCGACAAAAAAAACGGACTCCAATTGTGACAAAACTAATTATTTTGGTCTAAAAATAAAACTAATGAACTGATTTTTATAAAATTTCTATGGGACCAATCTGTAAATACATCTTTTGAGATAATAGGTACTTTTTCAAATTTAAAACTGTCCGAGTTATGAGGTAACAAACATAAAAAATATACAACTGAATATTTACTGAATATGTTTCTAATCACACTGAGAAATCATCAGGAATTCTTCACAAATAAATATAGTTATGTAGTATGATGTTTAAACTATAGGGCCCATATTGATGAAAAACCAATCACAGTAACCCTTTTAGTGCTATTGATTTTTACTCATATCTACTTAAAAATGCAAAAGAAATCTTTGTCGTGTTGATGTCATTTACCCTTGTCTCTAACAAAACTGAATCTCTTCCAAAAATTACGTTACGTTTAG